TAGTTTTGATTCTAAAATAAAAATAAAATGCTTAAAACTCGATTTCAAAAAAAAAAAAAACAAATTGGTAATAAAATCGTACCAAATCTGTTTTGGTTACTATTCTTCTCAAATGAAAAGGTTGAACCAAAATCTTAATTAAGCAATACACTCACGTGGCTTACGGTATACCACCAAGTATTTGAATCGTGACATTTTTAGAATATGCAAATTAAATTAATAAATTCATGAATTCAGTGTCATGTTTAGAAAGTAATAGCCCTAAGAGACCTATAAATACACACGAGAGGTGATCTCAGTAGAGTCATATCCTCTCCTTCTCCTCTAACAATATAACAAATCTCTTCAACAAGTGAATCCGATGAGGATATTACCGGGAAGCAGAGGAGTTGCCTTATGCCTCCTCCTAGTGTCCGTGCTCTGTTCGGCGGCTCTTTCTCTCGGCCGTGAAGTCGAGGTCGTTGGCTACGCCGAAAGCAGCAAGATCATGAACCCCCAAACATTTTCAGGTCTATTATTATCATATCCCTTCACTTCTATAAAATATGATTGACCTGTTTATATACGTACGTAATTAATTCTGCATTATATGCTTTGTAATCGTGTATTACATATATGGTGAGATCGAGTGAATCTGGTTCTAATCTTCTTCTAGGTACATATATTATTTTAGATTATGCATGGAAATGGAAAAAAAATTGACCAATATCTTGTACACTTTTCTTATAACTTAAATTTAACTTATGTTTCATTGCCTTTTTTTTGTTTTTTGCTAAGAAGGTAAATATCATTTAGAATAAAATGTTTAGGTTTTACAAAGTGATTAACAATTTGCCAAACTTATCTAATTGGTCTTATGCCAAAAAAGAATAAAAACATGGAAGTAAAAACAATCGTTGCATCCACAACTTGATGAGCTTTTAAACTCTTCACTGCGAATCTTTTCCTCTCCATTGAACGTTTTTGTGTGTGAGAACTGGTGAATAGGACTCCGAGTAACGATAGAATGCAAAACGGCCGATGCAAAAGGCCATTTTGTTACACGAGGAAATGGAGAAATTGACGAAAAAGGAAAGTTTAGTCTCAATATTCCTCATGACATCGTCGGAGACGACGGAACCCTAAAAGAAGCTTGCTATGCTCAGCTTCACAGCGCTTCCGGTAACCCTTGTCCGGCTCACGACGGCCTCGAGGCTTCCAAGATCATGTTTTTATCGAAATCCGGTGACAAACACGTTTTTGGTCTCAAACAAAATCTAAAATTTTCACCTGAAGTTTGCATCTCCAAGTTATTTTGGCATATGCCTAAGTTCCCTTTGCCTCCACCGCTCAAAAAGCCTTGCCCTCCTAAGATAAAGCTTCCACCAGTGGTGATCCCAAAGAAGCCATATCCACCAAAGATCGTGCATAAACCGTCGGTGCCTATCTACAAGCCACCGGTTGTGATCCCAAAGAAGCCGTGTCCACCAAAGAGCGTGCATAAACCGTCGGTGCCCATCTACAAGCCGCCAAAGAAAGTGCTTCCACCGATCTACAAGCCTCCGGTGGTGGTGATCCCAAAGAAACCGTGTCCACCTAAAGTTTCGGTGCCTATCTACAAGCCCCCGGTGGTGGTGATTCCAAAGAAGCCATGTCCACCACTTCCTAAGCTTCCTCCGGTGGTTGTGATTCCAAAGAAGCCATGTCCACCACTTCCGCCGTTTCCTAAGTTTCCGAAGTTCCCTCCAACATACATTCCACACCCTAAGTTCGGGAAATGGCCTCCTTTCCCTTCTCACCCATGAGGGAGGATACACTTCTTTACATTTATTATAAAGTGAGTGTTACATAAAGAATATTTCTTTGTTGCTTTGTTGAATATTTCTATGTAGATGGTGTGTTTTTCTCATGTATCTTTCCATTCCAGCAACACTACAAATAAAGCGGCATCTGACGTCGGTTATTAAGGACTTTAATCGTCCGTCGTTAAGTATATTAACATCAGTTTAAGAAATGACGTGTACTTTTACGTCACTAAAGTTGCGTCGGTTTTTACTAAATTTAACGACAGTTTGCTTCCGACTGAAAAATCAAAACTCATTTTTGGAGTCACTTAATAAACCGACGTATATTTATAATACATTTTTAATTATTTATGCTGCTTAATATTGTGTGTTGTATGTATATATTAGATAGATGTACTTAACTCAAAATTCACAAGATAACTCATATAAAAGACAATCATATAACTCTGTTTTACACAGAATATTGACGAAATGACTATATAGAACATAAAACAGCCCCACTATGAAACAGAGTAAACTCTAGGACGAAGGTTCGTAAGAATAAACTACAAGCAGTATCATACCATATCCTCTATGCGTTCCATCTCCTTCCTTCCGGCTGATGCTTGTTCTATCACCATGTCCTCTTCTTCCTTCAAACTATAGTATAAAATATTTAATCCAAGCTTAGGGGGAGAAATGGTGAAAAGGATAGCTCAAGAGAAACAAACGTAAAAAATATATAATGACCTGGAAAGCAATGATTCAGCCTTCTTCTCAACCTCTAGCTTCAATTGATTAAGTTTTTCTTTGATTTCAGATTGTTCAGCCTGTATCACTACCAGCCTGTAAGAAAGTATATATACACACACACACACTAAACTACGCCTCAATCACCATACCAAACACTGAGCATAAAACTGAAAGGATCTTAGTTTGGGCCTTTTCTAGATAATTTTAATGATAAAACGGACCTCTGTGCTTCTTATAGTCATTTCGTCAATATCTTTAATTTGCCATTCAAGCCTTCTTGGTACATTTCAATTTGCTGCTTTTGTAACACTGCAGAGCTGAAATCATATACAAATTACAGAATAATATAAATTACATAGAATACTATAATAAAAATATGTAGATATGATTCTTACATGGTCGTTTGATGCAATGGATGTCTATGAACAATGTCAGATGTTGGTGTTGGTTGATTCCCACCATTTTCATTCACCTGTAAAAGTAGTGAATTGTTTTACCTTTCTCTTCAAGCCTAATCCAATTCCAGGAAAGAAAGTCAAGCAAAAGTGTAGATGAGGGATTTAATAAACATCCTAGCAAATACACTAGAGCAATATAATCACAACCTCGTTATTCTTCAAAGATGCATATCCTGAAAAGTAGGAAGTACTAATGATAATACTGATAATCCATACTCATATTTCAGCCAGATTTGGAATGAACCAGTTTCACCAGCCAGATTCTGAAACATTCTGCATATCTCAGACTTGTAAACAACCTCAAATGCATATCTCAATCTCAGTACTCTCATCAAAAAACTCTGCGGATTATTTTTAATGAGTTCTACTACTTTTTATGCCAACTCATATACCTCTATGGCATGTAAAACATGTTGTTGCTCTTCTTGGCTTCAATTAACTTCTTTTCTGAATCAACATCATCTATGCAAATCGAGCAACCCGTCTCTTAAACTCAGGTCAGTCCATGAATTCATCTCTGGCTAGTTCCTCGTTGTAACAATAGAGAGAATCTCCTTCCAAACTCAACGAGACCAATCGTAATTACTCCTCTTCTACACT